CTTTAACACTTTTACTACTTAACTACAACAAATATCACATACTTTAACACTTTTAATACTTAACTACAACAAATATCACATACTTTAACACTTTTACTCAAGTTATATTCCTACAGGAGACTTTAACTTTTACCAAAGTCAGTTTTTGGTATGATACTTGTACTTTTACTGAAGTATCACTGTGTGGTACTTTATACAACTGGTTTTAAGTGGGCAGGTAGCAGTACCAGCACTTGTTAATGTGAGCCCTCAGCGTACTGGGACCAGTTTCCTGAGGCAGGTGCGTTTGCAGAACTCTCTCTGCTGTTGTTAAAGCCTGTTTCCCTCTGCTCCTGACATCAAGCTCTGAACTGAGCAGGCTGAGAAAGAGAAAAGAACAAATAAAGGAGTGCGCTCTTCTCCTTTATGAACAGAAAACACGACAAACTGAAAAATGAAGATGAAAAAATGCATGAAACCAGGGAATCCAGTGCTGAACAGTAAAAAGTCAGGAGTTTGAGTGACGGATCAGGTGACTGACATCCTGGTAAACATGAATTGTTATGATTGTTGTTTGTATTAATGTTTTATTTTAGTTTCTGTCTTGTCATCTGTTTTCTTCCTCCTGTCTGCCTGTGCTTCAAGCCCCGCCCACTCTCACCTGATCCTCATGTTTCTCCCCCAGGTGTTTCTCATTTGTGCTCATTAGTTTCACCTTTATATTCTGTGTCTTGTCTTCACTTCCCTGTCGGATCAATGTGCTGCTTACCATGTTTGTCCAGACCTCATGATCTTGTTCCAAGCCTGGATTCATTGTTTTGCCACCACGTCGGCTTTTGCTTTATTAAAATCTTTCCATTTACTCTAAGTTTTGCCTGCCTGCATTTCTGGGTTCTCCTCATCAAGCATTTGTGACAGAATACAGTAAAACCATCCAGTAATGTGACAGAAACTAAAGAGACTCATTAACTGAAGAAAACTAAACAGAAATACACGAAGAACAAGATGCAAGAATAAACTAAGAAACTAAATAATGAACAAACCAGGAGGGCTATGGAAAGACCTTCTGAGCAATAATTAATTCAGGAGAAAAACAGTAAAACACATGATCTGAACAGAAATAAAAACACAGATCATGATAGGAAACAATATTCAGGAAGAGAAACAACAATAAACTATGAAAATAAACATCAAGGATAAAACTTATATGAAGCATAATTTACCCACAAGCACAGGAGATGAGTACTTTTCACATAGGAATACCACTACTTCAACCTTTTTTTCTTCAAATAAAAGTAAAACACATCCCTCCAAGAAAGTACTCAAGAGTAAAAAGTATTTAATAAAAAGACGACCCAAGAAGTACTGAGTGAGCAGAAACAGGTTTAATATTTAGAAATGATGTCATCAGACAGACAAAAAGCATAAAACTATGTTCAAGTTAGTATTTTATAGACTAAAATGAAAAAATATATACTAACAAATGTCATATTTACAAAATAACAAATTAAGGCAAAATGAGCACTTTTCCAAAAATGTTCAGAATTATAAAACCTTAAATTCAGAAGGCAATGTGTGCTAGAACAGGTTCAATAGTGACAATTAGTTTTTACTTTATTTATTTTTTTCATTTTCCAACAGCAGCTCAGCAGAAAGAAACGAACATCAGATCAACAAAACCTGTTTTTAAACAACAAATCTGATCTGAACAAACTGTACATGTGTTTATATCAGGTGCAGATTTGATTAAAACATGTTTCTTTTTTATTTAGTCAATCAATCAATCAATCAATCAATCAATCAATCAATCAATCAATCTCTTTATTTAGACACAATTATGGTCCATAAAAACAGACAAAACAAGAACAATAAAAAGAAGAAAAATAAAAAAAATATGTAATGAAATAATCAATCACTGACATAGAAACTAAAACACCAATGATTCCAGAAACTGGAGAAGAATCTCACTGAGCTTTGAACAGGACTGGTCAGAGTCTGTTAATCTACACACACATCTGTGCATACACCATCAGGACTGACACTACACCATCAGGACTGACACTACACCATCAGGACTGACACTGCACCATCAGGACTGACACTGCACCATCGGGACTGACACTACACCATCAGGACTGACACTACACCATCAGGACTGACACTACACCATCGGGACTGACACTGCACCATCAGGACTGACACTACACCATCAGGACTGACACTACACCATCGGGACTGACACTGCACCATCAGGACTGACACTACACCATCAGGACTGACACTACACCATCGGGA